AAACGAATATATCGATAAGTTACGTATGGGTTATATTTTTAGTATATGATTCATAGATGACTCATTAAATTTTTATTGATGTGTATTGATATTAAATTTTTGAGCTTTTTTAATTTGTAATTTAAATTTCCCGCGGTTTTTGGCAGTGAAACTCTACTACGAAAAATTTTTATCTTCATTTTTATTATTATAGTCTTGTTAGTTCACGTAATCAATATATTTTGCATACTATTGTCAAGATAATTTAATGGAGATTAATTTGACACTTTTCAAAAATTAGTTTAGTGCACTAGAAAAGGAAAAAAATATCAAAATAGGTCAAAAAATTTTGAAACTCTGAAAACACTATAATTTGCAAAAAAAATGCATCAATTGAGCTGAATTTTTTTTTTCCAATTTTTTGAGAGAATTGTAGGTCACCGAATGCGAATGGCTAGATAATTCAGTGTCGTTTATGTACAATTAATAAAATAAAACAATAACCAGAAGACCAATATATGCTATTTTAGCTGTTTTATATATTTTTTTTTCTCATTATTCATTTTGTTAATATTTTATAATTAAATGATCATTATGAGTCGTGCACTTTTGAACTTTCCAAACTTTTTCTTATTATTGTGCACTTAATAGTCTTTAAATTTTGTTTTTTGATTAGTTACGAATTTTAAAGTACAAATTAAATTAAGAACCTTTTATAGAATAACTCCGCCATTTTGATAATCGACGGCCATCTTGTGAAGCATTAGTGATAGACAAATCGTGTGCTTTTAATACACTATCTTAATTAAAAAATTCAATACACATCAGTCATCGCTTAATTAAATCCGCACAGCTGAAATGATTAGTTTTTTGTTGACAATAATCTAACTGCTAGAAACGAGTACAATTGACGCGAAATAAATTTATCTAATGTATATGATATATCAATACAAGCACGACACATGGAGAAAAATGACGCGCTAATGCCGGTACAGCCAATAAATATTTAGCGCAATCCGCGGCTCACATCAAACTCCATCAGTATCTCTCTATCGTTTATTATTAATGAATATTATTATAAATATATTATTAATATTATTATTATTATTATTATAATAAATAATCATTGTTATTTTCACCTGAGATTCTACCGTAGATAAACTGTAATTGCTTCTCTATTTATTTTAAAATAATTATTTATTTTTAATATTTATTTTTTATCAAACTTGGTTAATAAATCAACGACTTTGTGTTGCCAGACACCGGGTTAAAACGTTTCATTTTAAATTTTTTCGAAATATTCACGCGGGTATTTATAATTATCGATAGTTTTATCTGGTAAGACTCAATGATTTTCTTTATTATTGTTATTACTATTTTTATTATTATTATTAGTAATAAAAACCTAAACATTTTTCAATAATTGATTATTTTAAACTCTATTCATATAATTAACTACTCATAACCATTTTCATAAGACGCTCCGCCCATCTTTGTTTATATTTACTTATTATTCTTAGTTTTTTTTTTTTTGTGAATTATACTTGCAAAATTTTTTTGTCCATTTATTTATAAATAATCATTATTATTATTTATTATTATAAAGAGTCAACTGTTATAAAATTGACAAAGACAGTGGAGCGTCTCACTAGCAATTGGGGTACCGGCCGGCGAATATCGTACCCATAAATCTCTTTTTCTAAAAAACATTGATACATTTTTTTTTTATTTTTATTTTTACTTTTTTTTTTCCACACAATTATTTGTTTTGTTCGATGAGGAGAGTTTACACGAAAAATCGTAGCTTCTTTATATAGGCCGTGAAAATGTGTTTGAATAAATGTTTCTTCACGAAAAAAAAAAAAAAACGCTATAAATTCAACTTTGAGGTGTCAGATGGCGCCACCACAATTTTTAAGCAGTGACGTATTTCCTTTACAATTCAGCGGCAAAATTCAAAATCCTTATTTTTTCTTCTTTGATCAATTATAATTAATTTTTTTATTTATTATTTGTAGAATAAATAAAAAAGAAAGTTTATATCTTCCGTGTAAACAATTATCTCCTTTAAATATTAAATATATATATATATTCATATACTTTTATAATATTTATATAAGTTTACATATATAATAGCAAAGGTACAAAATTGTATTTAAAAATTAATTATTACTATTTTTGAGAAAGAAAATCTGTTTAAAAATCTTAGACGTTTATTTCGATATAGAAAATCGTTATAATTACGTAGGAAGAAACGGCGCGTTATATTTTGTTATACTATTATTACTGTTATTAAATATCATATCCCATTATAGTTTTAAGTATTATTATTAATATTAATATTTATATTATTTATTAGTATTAGAATCATTATTTATTCAATGTTTGTTTGTAGTAAACCGGCAAATAGTGATATTGCGTCGCAAGCTCACACACATGCACACATATATCCGCTAAAAACGAGATAGCAGGTATCGATGGTCAACTTGCATATTATTCAATTAATAATTAATATAATTGTATTGATAATTATCTATGCTTATTAAACCACTGCTTAGTCGTTGCAACAGACTTTACCTCTCGCTCATTTCGTGCCCCAAGTTATTTTTTCCTCGGAGTTTTACGAAATTAATACGTTTAATGAAAGGTGCTCTTTTTATTAAATTAATTAATTTTTCTTTAATCCAAATTTTTTTTTTATTTCGTATAACGAGGACTAAGCTTTAATATACGTAAAAATGATTCGACATTTTTTTTTTAAGTTTTAGTAACTTATCGGTAGTTAACTAATATATTAATATATTAATGAAATGACTTAATCTCTAAAACGTTATCAAAATTTCTAAAACTAACATTTATAGAAACGACAAAGTTAAAGGACTCGGTCTATGAAAAACACTAGATATATTCATATATATATTTATACTTTTAATATATAATAATAATCGTAATTAATAATAATTAATTAATTAATAATAATTTACGAAATTAATAAAACTTTGTAACTTTTATCTTAATTTTGTCTTTTTCTTTTATTTTTTTTTAATATTATTGTTAAATTCTTCTAAACATTTATGCCAACGGTTAGCTAAATTGTAATTAATAAATTGATAAACTAGAAATTAATTCAAAATTGAAAGAAAAATTGGGAGTATGTCTGACGCATCTCTCCGGATTATTAATTATTATTATAACACATTTATTAATTTTATTAATTCAATCAAATTAATAAATAGTGATTGATATAATAGCGATTAATTAATTAATGTACTAATAAATTTTACTCAAATCGTTAATATTGTCGCGACAGCTGCGCCGCAAATGAGGCGTTTTATTTTACTTCATCGGGGGAGTATATATTTATTAATATACATTTAGGAACTTAAATTTGATCAAAGTTTAAATTAATAATTATTAATTAATAGGTAGTTTTAAGACAGAAAAATATTTGGCACTGTGAGAAATATTAACGATTTATGCTGTAAATTTTTCAACTAGTTTGTTGGATTTTTTTTGTTACTGATAATATATGCTAGTTTTTTTTTTTTTTATTTATTTTCATTTATTAATGCTATCCCAGCGCGGATTGATTATAATTATGGTAGAGTGTTGAGGTACACGCGGTTAACTAGACTACCAAGGACGAATAGGGTGTAAATTAATAAAATTAATTGTTTATTTGTGTTTTGTACACCAAGATTACTTATTTTTGAGAAAGTTACCGTGGTTCATTCTTTATACGTTAGATGGCGCCAGCAGTAACTGACGTCATTTCAAGGCGGGAAATTTGAACGCCTATTTGTGTTTAGAGAAGAAATTAACTGTTTAAATAAAATTTAATGATTAGTTTGTTTCTAAAAGTGAAAAAAACATTTTTTTTTTGTTAATTAATTAATTAAATAATTAATGTAAAAAAAAAAAATAATAGATATATGTTCACGGTAATCTCTTTGTAAATAAATCTTAAAACACGAATCTATGTAATAATTAGTTTAATAATCTGGGGACGGGACGGCCGTGTTAGGTCCAGCAACGACCAGCATCGCCAAAATAAAATAAAAATAAAAAACAACCAAAGAAAAAGTTCATTTTATTTAATAAAATCAAGTCAAATAAAATCCTCAAACTTTTTACAATTTTAAAGTATTAAATCAAATAAAAAAAGTGTAAAAAGTTTAAAAAATTTAACTTAACTTAATCTTATCTGTTTATTTTGAAAATTTTTATATTATAAATTATAATAGAATAATTATTGACAAAACAAATTCAATCTAAAAAATCAAACAAAATAATTACACTAGTCTCAATAAATAATCGATGAAAATAATGTAACGCCCGCATAATTCTAATACAGTTTCCCGTTTAATTATTCAGAAGAAAAAAAAACAAAAAAAAAACAATTTACGGCCGTCTTATATTTATATTCAATAATAATTAATTATAAAAACCACCCACTATTACTATTATTATTTATTATTTAATAAATCATCATAATTCATTATAAAAACTAATAAAATGTTTAAAAATGAAAAACAACGTTTATTGATTATCTAAGTAACAAACAATAGTATTTCTTTCCCCCTTATTAACAAAAGTTGCTTTTATTTACTTTTTATTCATTATTCATTATTATTAATATTTTTGTCATTATACGTAGAAATGCATGATGCCTTTTGTATTGCTTATAACTATTTTCATTATTTTTTTCTCCAACCATTATTATTACTATTATATCATTACTATAATCCACTATTTTTCCATTATTAATTAATAATTCGACTAATAAACCAGCTGTAAAATTTTCATCAAAATAATATTTATTACACGGGTATTTTTTGTTAAACAACAAACGTGATTTACATCGGTAGAAATTCTCAATAAAAATTAACGTTTAAATCACGGTAATTTTTAGTTATTACCTTATATATTTGCCGGTAACCAAAATATTTTTCAATTTTCGTTTGTTCAACAAATTTTACCGTAATTGATCATAAATTTTACCGAATTTACTATAGAATAAATTAATTGATTTTTTGTAATTTCTGTAAATAAAATTAATTTTTATTGAGAATTTCCGTCCATGCATTAAAAAAAATAAAAATTCAATAATAAATAATTAATAAAATTTTTTCCTTTTTAAATAAAACTGAGGTGACTTTTGCTACTGCTGTTGCTATTATTATTATTATTATTATTATTACTATAAATATTATTGATAATATTTTTGTAGTGATCAATATTTATATTTGAAAATTCCTCAAAAATACCCGGGGGTAAATGTTCGGCAAATTTTATAAAATTAATCTCCTTGGCTACTAAATTAGTTTCATTGTTTTTAATCTTGTTTTTCTTACTACCGATATCATCAATATTATTATTATTATTATTATTATTATTATTATTATTATTACTAGTACTATTAAAATAATTATTACTACCAGTTTTGTAACTATAGTAGTTGTTACTGTTACTGTTACTATAATTATTATTATTATTTTTATTTTTATCATTATAATTGTTATTATTACTAGTTGTAAAATTAAAATTGGTGTTTTCGTCTAAGAGGTTACCTAGTGGTTACGGCCACTGACTGTAGAGTTGAAATTGTTCGCGGGTGAAACAAGTCAAAAGTGGTTTCACAAAGTGTGCGTCGACAACTCGGCAGTGAGGACACGCAAAAACTCGGCTGTAGTCTGAGTAGAAGTTCAATCGCTGATGGGGATAGATTAATGGTTTTTGGCAGCTGTTGCACTGAAAACATAAAACAAAAAATTTATTTTTTTTTTATAGAATTTAAATAATGACAGGAAAAATTTTAGACTTGATAAATTTTCTTGACTCAAAAAAATATTAAGAAAAAGACTAAAAATTTCTTGAACTTAATTTTGGAATTTTTTTTTTTTCAAGTTTTTAGCTATAATGAAATAATATAAAAAAGTACTTACTTTAAGGCGTTCAGTACAACATGGCATGGCAGCAAAAATATCATAACTATACATGGTCCCGAGAACAAGACTTGATCCATCCCATTGTACAGTACAAGCACGACAACGTACAGGGGCACTTCCGCAACCCTCCAGACAAGTCATACAAACTGCTGATAAGTATTGTGTACGTCCCTCTACTTTAACCTTTAACAAAACAATTATTTTTAAAATCATTTCTTTCTCTAAATAATTATAAAAATAATTTAACTGATCAAATTCTGGCTTTTTTACTTTGAAATAGAATTTTTTATATCAAATTTTACTCCATTATAAATATTTTTCGCCTGCAACTTTTTAGTGCACTATGAATTATTTAATACTTGCTAATGAATAAAATTATCTTTATATTTTATATTTACATATTAAGAGACAAATTTTTTCAGTATTATAGATATATATTTATTGACATTTTGCACGCCTCATAACACCCAATAGTCATTTAAATTTTTTCAGAATTTACATCGCGTTTTAATTAAGCCAAATCGTAGCTTGCAATCACTATGCGACTGCCAAGAATTACGAATTATGAATGAAAAATTTTGCTTAGTAATTTTTCGATATTTTTAATCACAAAATACATAGTTGGGGTTTTTTTGAAATAATTAAAAAAAAATAATATTACTATAACAGGATCGATTATCAATAATTTATAGTGGGATGAACAAAATTATTAATTCAATAAACTATTCAAAACTCTTCCAAAAACACGACATAAAAATTGACGATCACCAAAAAATATATAAAATCGTGAAAATGCACAAATTCATGTCAAGAACTTTCTGTTAATACCAAATTTAATTATAAAATTCCGTTTAAAATAAAAATATGCCTTTCAAAAAATTTTGTTTATTCTCTTACTTATTTAAAAGATAAATTGACTATCGCTAAAAAAAATATCAAACTGTGAAAAGAAATCAATTCACGTAACCTTTCTGATGGTACCAAATTTAACTAATAGAAACCCAATTTATGATAAAAATATGTCCATCACAAAATTTCGCTTTTATTCTTAATTACCTGGATTAATATTTGACGTACTACCAAATTTGCGTGTTCAAAATAAAATAAATAAATTCGATTTGACTAAAAATCATGTGAAACTTTAAAAAAGCACAAATTCAAATCACGATCTTTTACACTATGCTAAATTAGCAATTAAATGGCTTTAAGTATGTGCAATTGTGATAATTATTAGTATTGTTTTCTTTTTATTTTTATTAATTACTATTATTTTCTTGGGTTGCAATTGCTAACACATCAATAGTCTTTTCATTTAGCAATTTAACTACAGTGTAACTTTAATATAACAAATTTAGCTTAATAAATAATAAATAAGTACCTCAGCACAAGAAGGAGAGTGTTGCCTCGGCGACAAGAAGAAGGTACCATCGACAAGAGGATACCTATCGAAGACTAGCATCGCCGCGCGACAAAGAACGCAGGAGACACGTGACCACTGTAGAGCAGCCAACGTTGACAGGATGAAACACCTTGTATCGTCATTGCCGTGATTTCCTTCATCTTCCATCTGAAATAAATATCAAAAATAAATTTTCATGATTTATAAATAAATAATTGCAAGCAAAATCTTGAAACTTGGAAAATTTGGCCAGCAATAAAACCCAGACTACCGGAATATAATAATCTAAATAATAAATATAATCCAAGCAATTTCTTCTTCTCGCCTGGATGTTATTTTCATATACTTAATGGGAGGAAAAATGTTTTTCTTTGTATTGTACTAAACTCAGTAGTTGACTCGGTTTGGGCGGAATGGAAGCAAAACGGGCGAGGCTTGGGTCTACTAGTCTACTAGTCGCTCTTCCGTTTATGTTCTGAATACAGACATTTACAGCCAATCGTAAATTAAATACTATGCTACCCGGGACGGGAATAGAAGGTTTAATGGGATGATATGCTGGAAGGATCCCAGGATCTCTTCTGTAAGCTCGCTATAGGGTTTACTCTGTGCTTTCCGCCAGATAGAGTAAAGTCTAGTGGGCGCGACACTCTCAGATTTATGGGCTATAGTTAAGCCTAGTGACGAAAAAGTTATTTTGCTACTCGTCGACACTAAAACCTACAAAATTTATATTTAAAATTTTTTTTTTTGCAAAATTGTTAATGATTGATGATAAATTTTGTATTTCATAAATAATGAAGTTAATGCTTACCATCAAATTTATTTTTGCAAGTTTAATATTTAAGTGTCGCTTTATTTTATCGAGGGTACCAGTGTTTTATTACCCTCTAAAAGTGAGATACATAAAAAAAATTATTGTTGTTTTTTAAATTATTTTTAGGGTCTAAATATACTAGCTTCTTTTTATCTATATTTTTTTAAGGTATATTTTATTTTTTATGGGCTGATCAATAGTGGACTATAACTACTTATTTCCGTGGAAGAAAACTGTCGATTAAATTTTGATGATAATAATTATTCAATCATTATCATAGATTTTTTTGGTAGAAAAGTTAATGATTTAAGAGAACAAGTCTTGAACTAAGATAATAATTTCAAAAAATTTCACTGTTTTAAATTAAGTAGAAAAAACATGTGAAGCCTAAAAAAATTTTTTAGTTATAGATAATCAAATTCCTCTAGATATTTTTCCTTTCAATTGAATTAATTTTTTTTTTTTTATATAAATCTGCAAAATATATAGAAGTTCGCTTAAAAATTTACATATTAAATTAAGTAGTAAAATTATAATATAAGTTAAATTCAGTAGTTTAGATACGTAAAAGTGATTATTTGTTTAATTTGGATATTTAAATCATAAAATTGATAGTTTAGTTCAATTTAAATTGAAATATTAAGTGGTTAAATCTTCAGATTTTATATTTTAAATCGTTAATATGATTGATTAAATTGTGATACTATATTTTATTCTATCTTTATGTAAAAAATTGTTAAATACGATGTAAATATGTTTGCCAATTGGCCAGTTTGGCCTTGGCATAAATTAAGTTATCTATCTATCTATATTGCTAAGCAAAACGATGTTGCATTAAAAATCCCAAATTTTTCAACTGCCTCCTATGAACATTCATTCCTAATTTGCACTTAGCATTGACACCTTCAAGACAAAAGTCTACGAATTTTTCCGTGATCTTGTGCTAAAGGACAGCTGGATACCTGGTATCACTGATGATGATCCAAATCATTAAAATTGGTGCTATCTGCATGCAGTGCTTTAAATTTTAAATTTAATTCAAACTTAAGTCTGACATTTATTATTCAAACTACAAATTCTTGTTCACTTTATTCTTATTGATTGGAATTAGTTGATTTCATTATTCAAATTTTAAATCATGTGCTTTGTTCGATTAGTTATAATCCCAACTTTGTCAATTTATCTATGTAGATCTGTTTATATTCTTATATGTACTTTTTACTTGTTATTTTGTATAATTCGCCATTCGGCCATTGCCTTGGCATTTGAATCAAATAAATAAATAAAAATATTTTATTTCCTTACAGTTCGTTAAATATAAAAAAGTTTAATTAAAAAACAAATTCTCACATAATTTTTATTAAACTTTTTATCTAATAATTAACAAAAAAAAAAAAAAAAAAACTGACAAATTTATTTCACAGTTTCCTTGTTTCACTCCCTTTGACATAAAATCATTTCGAGTGATACCTCAATTAACAGAAGTCAGAAAGTATAAGATTGGATATCAGCAGTATCGTGACTTTATCGGATCGTTAACGGTCCAAGAAGCTGAGGGAGTGTCAGAAGGTCTCTACATCATCAGCAAATCAGCTGCCATTATATCCAACCAACTTATGTACAATAATAGTAATAATAGTCTCGGATTACATAACAGTTAAAAAGCACAATTTTTATCCTTCATAAAAGATGAATACATCTTCAGAAAATTTGAGACAAAAAAAGATAAAAGGTCTGTAATTCAAAAATAAAAACCAAACAAAATTACCAATAAAACAAAATCCCGAAACTTAATCACGCGATCATCTTAAAACATCCTATAAACACGGTGTTAACTCACCCGGGGAATAAAAGTAAAAAAGAGAACAAAGAAGAAAGAAACCGAGAACCGAAAAACAATTCATATAAAAACCATTAGAGAAATTCCACTAAGTGTATTTAAGATTTATAGACATTGAAAACCGTTGAGATAAAAATGTGGTGTATTCTCTTAGTGACAAAGTAAAAGCTCGTCGGAAAACTTTTTCCCTTTCGGTTCTTTCGCTTCTTACCCCAGGCCACCCCCTCCCTACCCCTTCTCTGGCCACGATTTTTTGTTGTTTCTTGAAGAGCCTTGAATGGGACGCCAGTGACCCACTGGTATTCCCTCAGGATCCGAGCCCAGACAAAGACTTTCCCCACCGTGATCCGGTTAGGGTGTTTCTTCGCGCGTACTAAAATAATCGATGCTATCTTCTTATTCTTTTCTTCTTTCTCTTTTCTTATTTCTTCTCTTTTTTTAATAGTTACACCACTAAAAGCCAAAAGTTCCCATTAAACTGCTATCTTTGCTATATTTCTTCTCTAAAAAAGTTTTTATACAATTAATTTATTTTTCAAATTTTTTTAACTTATATTTTAAAAGTCAAATTTTCGATAACAAAAGTTTAGAAACAAAAAAATAAAAACTATGGTAATTATTTACAAGTGGGGTCCACTTAATTTTTGGCCATATTTAGGTGAAAAATTAACATTTTTTAATTTTTTATTTGATTCTGCTTATTTTTACGGCGCATGTATGATAAAAAATGTCGTGAAAGAAAAAAAAAAGATTTCGATAGCTTTTTTGCCTTTAAAATTTGGGGCGGGAAGTTGCACGGGTGGCCTTCAGGGTCTACCGTTTTTCTAATTTTTTTAATATATTTTTTTGAAAAGTACATAAAAAAACGAACAATTTAAAAAAAAAAGTTGAATATCACAAATTTATAAATTTTTTGAAAATTAGTAAAATTTGTTGAAATTGTGATAATCAACTTTGTTTTTTTAATTGTTCATTTTTTTATGTATTTTTCGAAAAAAATTATATTAATAAAATCAAACAGAAAATTCGTTTAAAAAACTGAAAATCAAAATGGTTAAACCCACTTGTAAATATTTACCGGTTTTTTTTTTTTTTTTGAATAAAGAAATTCTAATTATTCTACGTATAAATCATCAGATTAAAATGTTTTTATTATCTTATAGTTTTAGTAAATAATTACCAAAAATATAATTTCTTGTTACATTACCGTTTTTTCATAAAAAGAAAAAATTCAAGATGGAATTTATCGAATTTCTGTTCGGACCCCATTACGAAACCGAGACAAAAGCAACAAATAACTTAACCTTGGCCATAAAATGTAGAACAATGAATGACTTTTGATATTAAGATCGTAAATTTATACTGGGGGATCAATTTCCTCTTTTCCTCCACGTGCGTTCTTTAATAAGCACTACAATGTCATGCCGTACTACAGCAACAGTAACAGCGTTATGTTCCATTGTCATGACACCATAAAACGCAGAAACCTTAACGCGATGTTGATCTATGTCTGCAATTTATGTTTTATGTAGAAAATAATTACCCCTTTTATTTAATGACTCTCTTTAATTTGTTCGATAGTAAATTACTTTTATACTTCAATTATTTTTTGTTGTTTTCCGTTGAAATATTTGATAATAATTCAAAGTAAGAAACTTGAAAATAAGTTAATAGTTTTGTTTTTTTGATTTAACTTTTAATATCTTTCCAAAAAAAATAGATGGAAAAAAAATTTAATCTTATCGACGATGACTTAAATTGGATATAGAACTGTTAATTATAGTCAATTAAATAATGAAGAAATTGTTAAATTCGATTTTAATTGATTCTTCAATAAAATTTATCAGTATTTTCGTTTGTTTGGACAATTAGTTTAAAACTGTACTGCAACGTGTCAGTGCTTGAAATTTTTAAAGAAAAGACTTTATTTCTAAAAGAAGAAAATATGAAAGTCAATATTGTAAAATTATTTTTACTAATGAATATTCTACTGACATCGGTAAGTTTTTTTTAATTACAATAAGCAAATAAAAATCATAAGAATTATAAGATCAATGTTTTTTACCCAAGAATTATTATTATTTTTATTGTAATCAATTATTAAGAGAAAAAAAATCAACTTGAATCAAGAGAAAAATTCTTAAATAAAATAAAATTGACTTAAACTAAGAAAAATCTTAGTTTAAGAATTTTTCTACTTAAATCAAGAAGATGATGTTCTTCAAAATTATTTACTTGATTCGAGTGAATTTTTTTTTCTGTGTACTGATGTCAGTTTTGTAAAAGATTTCAGCGTATATTTTGCCGACAAATCTGTTTTTTGACCCGAAGATATTCAAGAGATCAAATATCTGCTTAAAAAATGAACATATGGGATGTTATTGCTAATTAATCATTATGTTATTTCCTTACATTGATTGATTTTATAAAAAATGTATTGTACCTTCAAATTAATTAAAATTTTTTTTGATAGTGTTCGAAACACAGTGAATGTTGTTCAAGTATCTGTGAACCTCTAAATCTATCAAAAATGAGTTTCTGTGTTAAATCTCTACAATACCCAATTACCACCGAAAAACCGACCATTTTGATCCATGAAAATTGTAAAGCAGATAATGTTGTGGTAAGTACTAAAAATTCGCCTGCTGCTCGCGTTCTGTACAAGCACTTAAATATTTTTTTTTTCTTTTATTTAATTACAGTGCGTAGACGATGATCAATGTTGCAGTAAAAAATGTTTTCCAGTAGGATTTAATAAATACAGTCAGTGTGTCGACTAACCATTTAGAACTGAAACAAATTTATAATGAATTTAATTCTCAATTGATGTGTAAAAATTTTAATGTTTTTCACCTTTACCCAAATAAAAATATTATTAAAAAAAAGTTTGGAAAATCCAAAAATGCACGCCTCATAATCTCATTTTTCACAATAAAATTGATTAAAATAAAATATAAAAAGCAAAATAATAAAAAAACAGAAAACTCTGCTATGGTTTAGTGGCGCTATAACTCTAAGGTGAGGCAAAAAAATACTATAATAAAATGTATACAATAAATGTATTAGTTTTTTATAAATAATAATTTAACGACAGTGAATTGAACGCTCATATTAATTGAGAAAGTCCGTCGTGTGTTACTTTAGATAATAAAAAAAAAATTATTCCGGTAAGATCATTTTTTCCTTAACCTGTAAGTGCAATATAAATAACGAAAAATGAATTTCAGTTTCGAGAAAACTGCTTTTTTTGAAATATCAAGAGTAAAGCACAACCTCAACGCTTCGCTTATTGAGGCATGCAATATTTAATACTCTCTGAAATTACTCGGAAACTTGACCAGTTTAATGGAAACAGCCCTTGATCTTGGTATTCTGGTACCAGGTCCATTATACTTTATATTAAATACCTTGTACCGTATAAAATACTTTATTACAAATGTGCAAAGTCATCTAATCCGGATAGATTGTTAGCGCACCCTTTACACTGGAGGGTGAATTCAAGGGTAGGCCACAAACTCAGCAATGCTATTTCATTCCGTTCCACTCCCCCTGTCTGTCCTATCCTGTGTCCTGCTGGATACCGCCAGGGCTGATACTGCTATTACTATCACTATCAGCAGTGCGCTTACCACTGGCATTACCCACCTGCATGACTACCACTCCCGAGTTCCGAGTAGATATTAATTATGCAATGCAAGGGTTCGTCCCACGATAAAGCGAGCTAGAATTACTCTGCGGTGGATCTTCAAAATTGCAATCCTAAAATCCTTTAATTGTCTCTCAAATATATCATATTACTTTTGAACTTTTTGTTTAATTGATTACTTGATTTTTATAGCCTGGTTAAAGCAAACCTAATGTCGCTCGTAATCTACGGCGGAGTGTTCGGGACAGGACAAGTTCGCACAACAGGAGCTTGCGTTATCTGCTGAAAATGGCCGAGCCC